ATGCAGGGGGAGATTGGATTCTCTCCCTACTTTGTGCTAAAATGGAGATTTTCCTATTCCAGCTAAGGTGTGATTTGCATATGAGCAAAGTCTAGCCTTCTCATTAAAAAAAACTTAATCCATCCATCCATCTGCATTGTTTGAGTACAGAGCAAAAATGAATGAAATTAGGGTTTGCATCCTTAGATTTGTATTGTTGTTCTTGTTTAGTTGTTGTGTCCGACTCCTCGTGAGCCCATGGACCAGAGCACGCCAGGCCGTCCTGTCTTCCACTGCCTCCCGGAGTTTGGTCAAAGTCCTGTTGGTAACTTCAGTGACACTGTCCAACCATCTCATCCTCTGTCATCCCCTTCTCCTCTTGCCTTCACTCTTTCCAGACATCAGGGTCTTTTCCAGGGAGATTTCTCTTCTCATGATATGGCCAAAGTATTGAAGCTTCAGCTTCAGGATCTGTCCTTCCAGTGAGCACTCAGGGTTGATTTCCCTCAGAATGGATAGGTTTGTTCTCCTTGCAGTCCAGGGAACTCTCAAGAGTCTCCTCCAGTACCACAATTCAAAAGCATAGATTTGTATTAACCTGGGTTAAAACAAAAAGCCCTGCCACTGTCATACATAGCTTGAACCTCGGTCTTACCTAGAAAAGCAAACCAACCCACCAATTCCTTTTGCTTTACCTTTTATGTTACGTTAAATTTAAGTATATATCTTTTTTTTAAAATCACACACACAAATTACTATGATGATACTTTTATGAACTGTATCTCAGTGCAGATTCCTTGGTAGGGAGTACAAGAAGGAGAGATAAGAGAATAAACAAAAGGAAAGATATAAGAGATAGTAGCAGGTGTGCTGCATTACTATGCAGAGCAGAAGTGAATGGAGGAATGGGTGTAACACAGTCTAGCTAAAGGCCCCAAGTGATAAATTAACATAGCAAGGCAGATAACATCACGACACCTAAAGTAGGACAATAACTTTCTGTAGTGAGAGTGCCACTCCTAGTCTCTGTTGAGTCCAAATTCCACAGATTGAAATTAGAACATAATTGAAAGAGGTTTACACCCACTCTGATTTAATCTGGGATTCATTTGCATCTCTTTGCCTTTTGGCCCCAGTTTATTTTCCCTGCTCCCATGTGTAGATACCTATTACCCGCCTGGAATACTCCCTTATGTATCCAGTCTCTGATCAATAAATGTTCATGTGGTAGCATGCTTGGGAACTGGGCTGGCTCAAGACACTTTGCTACCTGAGGCAGAAGATTAAATGTTGCCAAGTTTGAAAGCAGTTGCCTAGGGAATGTACTTCACCCTCCCTAATGGTAGGTCCAGACTAGTAAATTTTAAGATGCTACGCAAGTCGACATTTTTATTGACAAGGCAGACTGAGCTGCGCAGTGCTATAATTAATCGCACATTGAATTTTATTTAGGACCTCAGCTCAAACCCTTGCTTAGTCATGAAGTTTACCAGTTGAACGTTGGGATTCTTGACTTATCTCAATGGGCTCTTGTGAGAATAAAATGGATCAGTTCCATGTGTCCTACCATGTGCTCTTTGGAGGAAAGTAGCAAAACTGCTGGATAGCTCAGTAGTTTAGGCATCTGACTGCAGAGTCAAAGGCTTAGAGTTTGATTTCCCACTGTGCCTCCTTGAAAGGGACTGGACTCAATGATCCAGAGGGTCCCTTCCAGCTCTGCAGTTTTAAGATGATGATGATGTGATGGTCTAAACTTGTACCAACTATAGAAGACACTTTGAATAAATGAGACTTGCTATAACCTCTTCAGTTCATGTATATATTTACATATGCCTAACTGATTTAATAGTCTACTCTGGTTGAGTCCAACAATGGGATTCAGCTTATAAAAATCATTTTTAAAAGGGTCTAGAGCAGGGGTCCCCAACCATGGACTGGCCCTGTGCCAGTCCATGGACTGGGCTGGACTGGGCCGCGGAGACAGATCTCCCAAAAAAACACCCCACATGCACTCCCTCCCCGCACAGCCCCTTTGTGCATGTGCATGAGTGCATGCACACACCCCTGTGCATGCCCCTGCCTCTTTGCACATGTGCGCGAGCATGGGGGGTGCCCCGCCTTCCCTGCACACGGATCCAGTCCTGTCCCAACCAGTCTGCGATGACAGAAAGGTTGGGGACCACTAGTCTAAAGAATGTCTACCTGCCGGTCTGCCAAACATACTTCCCTGCACACGGATCCCATCCTGTCCCAACCAGTCCGCGGTGACAGAAAGGTTGGGGACCACTAGTCTAGAGAATGTCTACCTGCCGGTCTGCCAAACATGCATTTATGTACAATTCTGTGGTGGATAGTTTATTTCTTAGGTAGCCAAAATGTTATAAGAAGGCAAGTTTGTTTCATGTCCCCCAGAATTCTTCATCAGAAATAGACATTAGAGGATTGGAGTAGGAAAGAAGGAAAAACTCTAAAAATATCTGGCCAGAGATAATGGTCACAATTATTCTTTAGTCATTTAGTCATGTCCGACTCTGCAGTTATTCTTCTTTAGTCATTAAGTCGTGACCGACTCTTTTTGACCCCATGAGCCAGAGCATGCCAGGCCCTCCTGTCTTCCACTACCTCCTGGAGTTTGGTCAAATTCATGTTGGTAGCTACGATGACACGGTACAACCATCTCATTCTCTGTCATCCCCTTCTCCTCTTGCCTTCACACTTTTCCAACATCAGGGTCTTTTCCAGGGAGTCTTCTC